TGAGATTTTGAAATGCAACATCAGAATAAAATGATCCCAATTCCCACATCCCCACCTTTTGAAAGACTGAAGACATTTATTACCAGTTAAGGCCTGAATTTTAAAATAATTAATTCAATGCTTCAAGACTTGTTAAGGGACTGCAGGGGGCCTTGTTTTAAAGACCAGTTCAAGGTAATTTTTTTTAAACCACATTTAAAATGTAAATTTTTTAAACAAATCATTCAAAATCATTTTCCTTTTTCAACCACTGCAGGTCAATATAATGTTAAGTAGTACAGATGTGGTCCCATGCAGGAGTAGGTTTTATGTAGGAATATGTTTATTAGAGTAGGTTAGGTAATCTACATTTTGCCGACAAGTAAGTGCAAGTATAAAGCAAAGGTAGTAAAGTGGTAGATTTTAAGATCTATGATATCAGAAATGTGGACTTGCCCATAGAAGAGCTTGACTGATTTTGACAAAAGAAATTCAAAGATGGATAAATTAAAATAGATAAAAAGTTTGCAGCGATTAAAACCTTACAAATTCTAACTTTAACACTATTTAATAACTTTTAAGGCCTAATATTTATAAAACTGAATTTAAGGCATTTTGAGACTTCTTAAGGACCTGCAGACACCCTGTAAAGCCGTATAAAGTGTGACCATGAGAGGCACCACTGATATCTGCTGTAGGGGGATAAAACCCTGTGTGTCTCCTTCCAAGTATAATAATAATAATATATAATAGTATATGATAGATATTCCTGACCACATTTCAAACAGGCAACCCATTGTTCCCATTCTAACCCATGACCACACCTGTGTCCACAGCTCCACTATGTCCCTCTTCTCTCCTTCTGCCTCCCTCTTCACCCTCTCCCCTCCGTGCGCGTGTCCATGTCCACTCTCCTCCTTGTGCACCCGGACGGCATCCTCCTGATGTCCGTGATCATGTGAGTGTGCGTGCCCGTGATCATGAGAATGTGCGTGCCCATGATCATGAGAGTGTGCGTGCCCGTGATCATGAGAGTGTGCGTGCCCGTGATCATGTGAGTGTGCGTGCCCGTGATCATGTGAGTGTGCGTGCCCGTGATCATGAGAGTGTGCGTGCCCGTGGTGTTCCTCTTCCTCTACAGGGAGGTTGGCCTCTGCGCTCCACTTGCTCGCTCCGTGGAACATCCTCACTCCTTCATTATGATCGTCTGCTTCGTGGGAATGGCCATGGTGGTGATGGTGGCCATGGGAGTGGGCGTGGCCGTCGCCATGGGAATGACTATGAGCGTTGGTTGAATGGGAGGCTAACAGGAGTACTGCAGATGTGACCAGTGTCAGTACCAGCAGACGTACAAAGCCCATATTACCCCCTATGACAAAGGGAAGAGTGAAGAAGACACAGAATAAATTAAAAAATACTCACACAGGTTGTCTGATGATTAAACTCAGCTGCCCTGTTTACACAAACACTCCAGCACATAATTGAGTAAAAATGACTAATGTTCTGCCTTGCTTCATTGTAAACATCCTGTTTCCATTCTTTAAGAATACAAAGTACTGCCCATGGGGTACCGTTACCTGCTGGTGCAGAGAGCTATTTCCTCTCACGCAGGCGCAGAACATACATGCTAGTTGGCTGCTGGCTGTAGTCTTTGCAGTGTGTTCAAGTGCAACTTTTATGGCCAACACACAGTCAGCCTTCATCGCCACATCTTTGCTGCATTTTGGTGGGCCTAAAAATGATCCATCTTTCCCCTGTGATATTAAAGCACAAGGAAGACGGCAGTTCCAGCAATTGCAACAGGTGTGATTATAATGAGGGGCAACAAGCTGCTGCAACATTTAGGCCTATCTAATCCCTGATCTGTGCAACTGTGTGGAAATTAACTGTTGAAAATACTTAAGTGATTTTATTTTATTTGTGGGAAACTGTGGTCAAGGGGATAGCTACAGTGATATTTTTTGGTGCCTCACCTTGTGTAATGTAGGACCTAAAAACTTTTTCCAACATGTTAGATGTCAAAAAATAAACTATCTTTGGAGGGTGTGCTGTGCTACACTCACATGAATATGTGGCTGTCTCTTACAGGCAAAGATGCATTTCCAGTTACACTACATCACACTCTGTATGTAGTCAAAAGTCATTCAGATTCCCACCAAATCGGTTTAAAGTGATCAACAGGGATGTACTGGGACTGAAATTCAGTCTAGGACTTTAAAATGGAGAGAACGATTTTTTTGGCAGTAATGTTAACACTAAGGCATGAAGAGAATCGGGTGATGTTGAAGACATTTAAGACACTTAAGACACTTTAGGTCTTTAGGACGTCTTTCTGAGACCTCCCTGCTCAGTTTCTATAACATGTCTCAACTGCACTGAATCAAAACAAGACCAGGCCAGGCAAACCTAGGTGAGCTGATACAGTAAACGTCTGTACCAAAACATGCACACTCAGTCAACAGAGTGCTAAAATAGTTACAAATGCTCACACGTACATGCACGCTCAGATGCTCAATGGGTTTTTTTTGTTAATTTTTTTTAAATATATAATGAAAAGCTCCAATGCAGTCCCATAAAAATTGAACAAATAAAAAGTATCTGATGTCAGTAATTCCTGATATCAGAAAGTGAAAAAACATAACTCTATCGTCACTGGCCAGTTCTGCAGAGAACGGACAAGCTGTTGGGAGTCTTCCCGACCTTCCTAAAGGCCAGTCCGCCCCTGGTGATCAATACCAGTGCATCTTCAGTGAGACTGGGAGCAAAATCCATCTGTATGTAGAGCTTTCAATTCTTCACCAGATCAGCCAGTTTGTATTATTGAGCCAACATTGCAGGTATTTTAAAATGCACTTCAATTTGGCCACTGCTGTGGCTCAAAATGGGGATGCATTTGCTGCAGCAATACCTCAGTGTAAAGATACTCTGTTATAAGTACAAGGCATACACCAAAAGCTTGCTTAAGTAAAAGTAAAATGGCCCTTCTGGTATAATATATATTAAATCACTGGATTGTAATATTTTGGACATTAAAGTGTTCATTACTTTCATGTTGCAGCTAGCAAAGGTGGGGCTATAACAATGCATTACTATTCATTAACTGATTGATGTTGTGTATTAATAATCAGAATCTGCAAAAGTAACTACAGCTGTTACATACAGTAAGAGGAGCTGAAAGTACAGTATTGGCTTCCAAAATGTAGCAGGAATAATACACAAGTTAAGTATAAGTATCTCAAAACTGAAATTCTTGGTTACATTCCACCGGTATATTAAGATTGTGCTATGACTGACGTATTCATAAGACTGTTGTAATACTGTGTACAGTATGTGCAATAGTAGCAGCCAACGATAACCTGCTGATGTGTGCAGGTTGTGCTAACTGTAACGACACAATCCTTGTTAGCTAATTCAACCATCATTCATTGCAGTCTGATTTACAGTTAGCTTTGTTTTGAGACTTGGCTTCACACATCGGACTTTGGGGTAAAGCGGATAATCTCGTAGCTTTGAAAAGTGTTAGCTTTAATCTCACAGTCAACAGTAAAAGCCCCGCTCATCAAACAATGACCTCTGATCACCGGTTTCCACAAGTTGTACAGAAAGCCTCCCAGCTTCACTGGCTAGCTAGCTAGCAACCAGCTTGCTAACATGTTGCTGCAGCAGAGGCAACATCACTTACTGCGACACACAGTGAAAAAACAAACAATTCACTCTTACCGGATTGTGTCAGATATCACTGCCTGCTGGGCCGCTGGATGACTCTCCGTTCTGCGTGCAGTATGTTTGGTAAACTGCTACTATTTCTCTCTTCGTTGATGCTACTGGTAAGACGTGGCATTTACTCAAGTAAACTCAATGAAATCTCGCGAGACCGCATTCCATTCCAAGAAGTGCCACCTTCGCTGCTCCCTCGTCAGCTCTACTTAGATGAAAATATATGTTTTATTTTTCATGACACAATTATAACGGGATGTGAACGCAGTTTACAACATTTCTGAAGACGTTTCCAAACATATGTACCGGAAAAAAACATTTTAGCGAAAAAGTATAGAAGACAGATGAGGTCTCCACTGAAATATCGCGAGATCTGATATTTTGAATCACTTCATGCTGCAGAGAGAACAGGATGTAGCTCCGTCTGTCTGAGACTGACACTGCAAATAAATGATAAACCTACGTAGCCTGGCTCAAAATGTCTGCAGGGAAAAGCGGCCTTCAGCTTTGACAACAATAACTCATAGTTTGCACAAACATATAGTGGTGGAATGTAATTAAGTGCATTTACTCTCAAGTAGACTGTAGACCCACTTGGATGCACTTTTGAGGTACTTGAGTATTTCCACTTTATGTTACTTTATATTTCTACTCTACTACATTTCACAGGAAAATATTGCACTACTTTATTCTTACTGCATTTATTTGATAACTTAAGTTATTTTTGCAGATTCAGATAGTATATACAAATATAAATCAGCTAACATTATAGGTAATAGATACCTAGCAGTACATGAAGTTGTTGAAATGAGCTCCACCCTTACAAACTGTAATGTAATACCTATATGATTAGATGATTATAACCTGGCAGCCTAATATGATATTATTCTAATGGTACTTTAGGGAGCAACACTTTGATGCTGATAGGCCTACTTTGTAGGCCTACTTTTACTGCAGTAAAAGTTTGAATGCAGACTGTAAGAAATGTAGGCTAATCCTACACTGTGGTATTGTTACTTTAAAGTAGGCTACAAGTTCTGAGTATTTCTTTCATCACTATATTGGGCAGATTTGTACATTTTTTTAGATTACCCTACCGTTTTTCAATTCCTGTCCAGTGAAAACCATGTATCTCCAGATGTTTCAGATAAACTTAATTATGAAATGTTTAAAGCTTGAAAACATGCGTCGCTTTAAAGCAGAAAGTAGCAGTTGTAAAATATATTTCCATGATCATTTATTAGCCATACAGTCCTCCTAATGACTGCTGGACACGCCCCCACTCTCCGCAGGTTCAGTATCGGTAAATGTCAGCTGACTCTGTTGAGCTCCAGGCTTACTTATCAAAACAAGATGAAGACGTTGTGTGTGTTGCTCCTCTTCTGTCACGTTGCATCTACAGGTAAGAGCACACTGTGACATTTACCGATATAGGCTTCTTGTTAGTGATGTCGTTGTTGTTTGATGGGAACTAGGAACTTGTTTCACTTTCACATTGTCACACTGAATTTAGAGTAACAACAGTGATATGTGATCTCTCCTGAATAACTACGATAGACTGAATCATCGTGTATATTTACAATAATTTCCGGAGAGAAAATCCTTGCATCATGAAAGTCAAACGGTGCTGAGCAAACGCTGCCTTATTTAGCAACCTAAAAAGAGCCATCAAAGTTTAAAAGTAAGCTGTATTTAGACTAGTATGTTCACCGCTTTACCCTGCTGTCAGACAGTCTCCTCCGATGGGTAACTGAGGCCGTTACATCAAAGCCACCAGACTCCTCTCACAAAAATGGTTAATTAAGCACAACACTGAGTTGTTTGTCCACCACGGCCTGTGCAAGTGTGCAAGAGAAACTGGAGCAAATATTTAAATATAGCTTACACTTGCACAGACAGGGCCATAAAACAGTGCAGGCAAACTGGGGCCTGTGAGGTGGGGGGCCCATAGAGAGTGGGCACTCCAGCAGTGTGTTTGGTGGAGAATGAGCCCTTATGAGTGATAGCTCTCATTAAATTAAAAGCAGTGCAATTTGCTATGTATGCCCTCACAGAGTCAATAACTGCTTATATTTCCTTCTGCGTGGTCTTAATAATACTGCAAAGAACTGTTACAAAGTATCCAAATAATAGACCTTATCTCACAAAGACAATTAAGGAATGTATCCATAGGAAGAAGTCAGCCTTTAAATCAGGTGACACATTAGCATTAAAGGCTGCAGTGAAAGAACTGAATCAACAACTGAGTGAACCCAGAAGGCAGTACAAGGAGCGTGCGGAGCAGGACTTACAAAACTTGTATGAATAGAGCGACTGGACCAGATGGCACGTCTGCTTTTTAACTAAAAACATGTGCAGAGGAACTATCACCAGCCTGATATCGTCTATTCCAACTATCCTTAGACTCACATACAGTGCCAGAGAGCTGGAAACAATCGGTGATAGTCCCAGTTCCTAAAAAGACATACCCGCAAGAAAATAACAATTACAGGCCAGTAGCCTTAACTTCAAATGTGGTAAAGTCAATGGAGAAACTTGTGATAGAGGAACTTAGGAGAGAAACAAAGCAACACTTCAATTTCAATTTGCTTACTCAGAGAACCGTAATACGAGTGATGCTATTTCCACAGTAACACATCTTATTTTGAAGCATTTAGAAAGTCCTATAGCATACGTCAGGCTGCTTTTCATTGATTTTAGTTCAGCCTTTAATTCGATTCATCCCGATATTCTGTTTCGTAAGTTATCTCAGTTAATTGTAAATCCCTGTATTATTAAGTGGTACTTCTCCTCCTTAGTAAAAAGGTCACAAAAGCTAGAAGTCAATTCAGTGTTCTCCAAGGAAATAGTATGTAGCACGGGCGTGCCTCAGGGAACAGTCAGTTCTTCCCTTCTGTTCACTCTGTATACTAACAACTGTGTCAGCTCACAACCCAATCAATTTGTTATTAAGTTTTCAGATGACACTGTCATCCTTAGCTTGCTCACAAGTAACTCCGATGTCAGCATCCACACACAGGGGGTGGTTAGGTTTGTCGAGTGGTGCGACGAACACCACCTGCAAATTAATGTTGGTAAAACTGAAGAGATTGTAGTGGATCCCAAGTCCATAGGACACCACACTGCAATCTCTATACATAACCAAACAGTTAAGCAAGTTGTCTCCTATAAGTATCTAGGAGTACAGATTGATGGGATATGAGCTGGCACTCACATGTGCAAAATGTCTGTGGAAAGATACATCAGCGCCTGCACTTCCTACCGAGATTAAGATTGTTTGGGGTCAATAGAAACATAATGATGATTTTTTACAATGCTAGTATTCTGTCTGTCTTAAGATATGGTATGTCCATCTGGTTTGGAAACCTGACTGTGAAATTCAAATCCCAAATTGCTAGGTTGATTGATATGGCAGGGAAGATAATGGGTGTGTCCACACCCCTGATCACTCCTCAAGTCATTTTTGAACAATCAGTGATAAGACAAGCTCGTAAAATCGTGTCTGATCCTGACCATGTACTGAATTCTGAATATGAGTTATTGCATTCGTGAAGAATGTACAGAGTACCACGATGCACATATAACCGGTACAAAAACTTGTTTATTCCGTTGTCGATCAAATTGATTAATGAGGAGTGTGTCTGATGTAGGTATTGTGTATTTAATTTGGGGGGGTGATTATTTGAAAAATTGTTGAATATTTGCCATGATTTTCGAAGTGTTTTTGCTTGTGCTGCCCATCCCTAGTATGTTGACATTATCCAATGTCAAGTCTCTAATCATGTAATGAGATGATATGTGTACAATAGCATGCACTGGGGCCTATCATAATAGTGTGCACTGGGGCCTGTCACAGCTATCTTACATCACTGTGGCACAGATATAGATTTTTTAGGTGGCCAAAATATGTTTTTCCTGTGACCCTGTCCACAGAAGTATAATGTTGAGCTTCTGTGCTGGTAGATTTGGTTTTATCATAACAAAGCAACAGAGTAAGAAGACAAAGCAAGCACAGCAGAAGTGTCACATAGGTCAGACCACCATGTCTACATAATTTGAAGAACTTTATCTGTCATTATATGACCGAACATGCAATGAAACTGTACGGGGGGCTGACAACCAAGGAATCAATCAGTAACATCAATAAGATAAAATACTTTATTTGTCCTACAGTAAAACACTCCCTGAAATATTTCCTCACTGCATCTTCTGGAGTCCCAAACTTTCCAGAGTTTGTGGGTGCTGCCATGGTTGATGACGTTCAGGTGGGTTACTGTGACAGCAACATCAAGACAGCAGAACCCAAACAGGACTGGATGAGAAAAATAATAAAGGCTGACCCACAACACTTGGAGTGGTACACTCTGAAGTGTTTTGGTAGTCAGCAGGTCTTCAGAGCCAACCTCGACAACTTGAAGCAACGCTTGAACCAAACTGGAGGTACAGTATGTTTATGTGTATTACATTTTTTTCACAAGTGAAATGCTTTCTCCCTCTGAGTCTGGTGACAATGTGACAACATCTGTTAATTGCCAACAGTGCTTGGATGCCACTTTGTCATCTCTGTCTCTCTCAGGTGCTCACATTTTACAGAGGATGAATGGCTGTGAGTGGGATGATGAGACCGGAGAGGTCATTGGATTTAATCAATACGGTTATGATGGGGAAGACTTCATATCATTGGACCTGCAAACGCTGACATGGACTGCTCCAAAACAACAGGCATTCATCACGAAACTTAGATGGGATGCTGAGAAAGCTAGAATACAATACAATAAAGACTACTATACCCACAAATGTCCTGACTTGCTGAAGAACTATGTGCAGTATGGGAGAAGCTTTCTGCAGAGAAGAGGTAGGATCACATGGCTAGATGTACTGTTGCACACAGACTCAAAGTTCACATGCCTTTTCTGTTTCTGATGCAATGTAACATTCCACCTGAAGGGAAACAATATAGACACATACCATCTTTGTGTCTCGGTACAGACTCATTTGTGTCTGTCTGCCTCTCCAGAGCTTCCCTCAGTGTCTCTCCTCCAGAAGTCTCCCTCCTCTCCAGTCAGCTGCCACGCTACAGGTTTCTACCCTGACAGCGCCATGATGTTCTGGAGGAAAGATGGAGAGGAGATTCATGAGGATGTGTACCACGGAGAGATCCTCCCCAACCATGATGGATCCTTCCAGATTACTGTTGAACTGGACGTTTCATCAGTCCCACCTGAAGACTGGAGGAGGTACGACTGTGTGTTTCAGCTCTCTGGTGTGAAGGACATCGTCACCAAACTGGACAAAGCAGTGATCAGGACCAACCAGGGTAAGACTGATGGGAGTTTTTTTACTTGGCAGGATATCTCAAAGAGTGAGCAACAGATTTCTCTGAAATGAGGGGGACAGTAAGATAAACCAAGGAAGAACTTATTAGATATTGTTGTGCATAGTGCCACCCTTTTTCTTGCAGGAAATTTGTCTCACAAAACACAGACCAGGCTTAACATGATAAATACTTAATGCATCAAGCTGTTCTCATGCAGTGTTCAAATGAAGCCTATACCTATGAAAAGTAATGCATTAGACTTCATATAATCTGCGTAATCGTGAGCCACTCATACATAACCCATGTAATTGTATAAGCTGCAATCGTGAGGAATGCGCTAATGGGAGTATAGCAGGACGTAGTATAAAGAGCGAATGTCTGCATAAGGAGGCAGTTTGGGGTGGTGGATGGGTCAAACAAACACAGGTCAGGTCCGGTGAAACCAAGTGAACTACCAACTTAACTAATAGGGGCGCTTATTTGTTGAGCGTTAATTCTTTATATATCATACAAACCTTTGTATGAGGACAGGTTTAACACATACTGTAATACATATGTAAAAAGAAATACAAAAAAAAACACCCTCAAATAGTCACATAAAACAATGCACAGCAGTGAAGATTTGTGCCTTTGTTGGAGACAATATTGAGATAACAGGAAGCAAGTTAGAGAGAGATGCAACAAATGTGTTTAATGGCTTTTCACATATAGATGGCGCTACAGTGGTAATGTAGTGAGCCCATGCGCCATGGGGCAAGGAAAAAGAGCACTGAGCAAATGGCTCCACCATGTGGCTAATTTTGAAAGGTACTTTTTTATTTTTGCTTCTACATCTTGAGCTCTGATGTGAAGAAGCAGGATTCCAAGCACAGCTTGATAAGTTGTAGCACCGTATAACTTAATAGTAAATGACTTACTCATGAGAATATGCTAAACAAAAAGGGTAAGGGTAGGCTTTAGCTTGAGCCTACATCTTTTCAGTCTTTTTTTTGTGTGTGTTTTCCTTTTTTTTTCCTTTTAATTTAATGCCTTAATGTTATGTATTCTTCATTATGTTGATTCCTCCTGGAAAATTGTTAACAAGGACTGAAATTAATTTCTGCTTTGGGTCCAGTTTGTTCCTATGGGTTCCCTGTTGGTGGTGTTATTGGAATTGTTGTAGTACTTCTGCTGCTGGCACTGTGCATCACTGGACTCTTCATCTGGAAAAGAAACTATCATGGTGAGGGACAGAGATGTTTTTAGTCCACTAATGAATTCAGAATAAATAGTCTACCTGTGATAGTCTTTTCCTGCATACTTTGTGCGGTACTTCTGGTAATCAGTCCATTTATTTGACAAGTGATAGTGAACCACAAAGAACTTATTTCTCTTCTTTTATAAATTCTGATATGTGAATTATTTTCTAACATTGATTTCTCTTATCTGTATTTCAGGGTTCCAGCCTGCTAACAGTAAGTATTGTGGTTTGTCCTTTGGACAAGCAATTAATATCCTGTTCACCATATAAACCATTGTCCTGCATCATGTGGACACAAATATGATAAAGTTGTCACATCTCTGTTTATTTACCACTTGTCTTGACAGTGGGGCAGTGAAGTTTAGAAGAGGCTGCTGAACTCCACTTAGTGAGGAGTCAACAAAATCACAACAAGTTCCTAGACGGGATTGTTTCTTAGAAAAAACATCTACAAAGCGCTGACTGATGCAGGACCAAGTGGCAACCTCGGAGGTTGAAAAATGCAACCAATGTGGAAGTGCCAAAAACTGCAGTTCAACTAGTGGCCACTTGAGGCTGGCTCCAAAACAGTCGATCCCCATAGATCCACATGTTTAAATGCCCAACAGCATAATAATATATGTGTGACCCACTGCTGGGAGATTGAAAGAGCAGCTGGTAGGAGTTAGCAGATAACTCAAAGAAGAAGAGCAAGAGTCGAAAATATCTGCAAATTGGGAAAACAATGAGGCCCGGGAGCTCCTTACCCGCCGAGCAGAAGATGAGATCAGCTGGCATATAACATTGTTATTTCCATGTTATGTCATTGTCATTTCTTTATAAAACTCTGCCAATGCTTATGTTTTATGCTGCAGTAGAGGCCTACACTGTTGTGTTACATGTCACACCTGCCATGCCTCTTTTGCTTCCATGATGCCAGCCTGCCATCTAAAATCACTCATGGAGCAGCTTGATGCTGCGGTTGTAAAAATGCAATGGCGTCACAAACAAGGGACTTCATTGAGGTTCTATAGCACAAGCTCAGTGTAAAAAAGGCTTATGAGTGAAATGCACTCTTCGCTCCTCCACAGCTTCAACCTCTAATCCAACTATGGTCACAATTAGCTAAAAAAAAAAAAAAACAAGCTGGCAACAGCTGAAATCCAAAATTTGAGGCTTCAAAATGGCAGTCCACAAACCAATGGGTAACTTCACTGTAGCTGCTTCTATTATTTCATACAGTCTACACACACACACACACACACACACACACACACAGCTTGCGTGAGAGTTAAAACTAATAATCACTGGGCATCAAACCGTCTCAGTGGGTCTTCACTGTGAGTAAATCGGACAGCTCCAGGATCAGCACACCGGACATCGTTTATGAGTCCACTATGTTGAAACACCACAGCTGTCTTTAAGCAAAGACAGCTGTGGCAAAAAATAATCTATAAGCACTTTAATTGTGTTGGAGGTGGGGAAAGAGGGTATAGTCTGTTTCTTGTTTTTATTTATTTATGTATTATGTGTGTGTTTCAGCGTTTAGTTTGTTTTTTTTCTCATCTGATCAAGCAGGTTTGTTCTCTTGTAACCAAGGATGTCAGTTCAAGGCAGCTGTAGTGAGATGGAGAAAGGCAACCTGTTGTAAATGTAAAATGACTTGATGATGGAGGAGGAATAAAAGAGTGAGAGCAAAGTGGCAAATGTGTATACATACAGTTGTCTGTTAGTGAAGCATATGGCATATTTGTGAAAAAGCCTGAAGTAATCAAATGATCCATAGTTTTTGGTGGGGGGCACCAGGGATAGCCATGGCCGGAGGCATAATGTTTTCGGGTTGTCCATCTAATTCTCCCGAACACAATATCTCAAGAACACCTTGAGAGAATTTCTTCAAATTAGCACAAACGTCCACTTTGACTGAAGAATAAACAGATCACAATTTGGCAGTCAAGGATCAAGCTCACCATGACCTCACAAAACATGTTTTTGGCCATAACTCAAGAATGCATATACTAATTATGACAAAACTTCACACAAATGTCTAAAAGGATAAATAGAAAAACCTCAATTTGTGGTGTTTTACCGACGTAGTGTGTTTATTTGGAAAGAGACTGAATGCAAACAGTACATTTCCTGTGGAAACGTGAGTGTATTTAGAAAACAGACATTGCATGTGACAGGCAGAACTTGACACGGCATCCCAGAACGTCAACAACCAACGCACCCAGGGTACTTTGCGTGTCATATCTCATCTTCGAAAGTCCACAACCAAAGGTTGATATGTGATGAGGTCAGAGTGAGAATGACACTAATGTTGGGTGCCCTGAAATTTTGCTGATTGTAATGCTGTCGTGTCTGAAGCGTCCATGTTTTCACACACATGGATGTAAATTGTAAGAGAAATTTGCCCTGTGCGTGGAGGCATAGAACCACAGCGTGGTAATTCTAGTGTTGTTGTTATTTTTAAAAAGCACTTAAGTTATCAAAAACACATTTTAAAATCTGTCTGCCTCCTTTTACTGTGAGAGCTGAAGTGATTACAAATCATGTCTGATTTGTCCGTTTACATTTGTGGTTAGCGCTGTCACCTCACAGCAAGAGCCTTCCAGGTTTTAAACCACAGGCCAGCTAGGGCCTTTCTGTGTGGAGTTTGTATGTTCTCCTTGTGTCAGCTTGGGTTTGCTCCAGCTTCCTCCCACAGTGCACAGACAAAGACTTGCAGCCCTACGTGTTTCACCCTGATCCTTAACACCAAAGCACATGAAGTAGTTGAAATGAGCTCATCCCTTACAAACTGTAATGTAATACATATATGCCTAGATGATTATAACCTGGCAGCCTAATATGATATGATTCTAAGCTGGGCCATTCTGCATAGAAAACTTTGGTACTTAACACTTTGATACTGATACTTTGTACTTTTACTGCAGTAAAAGTTTGAATGCAGACTGTAAGAAATGTAGGCTAATCCTACAGTGTGGTATTGCTACTTTAAAGTACACGTTCTGAGTACTTCTTTCATCAATATATTTGGCAGATTTGCACTGTTTTTTAGATTACCCTACAGTTTTTCATCTCCTGTCCAGTGAAAACTATGCATCTTCAGATGTAGTGACTTTGAAAGTTTTAGATAAACTTAATGAAATGTTCCTTTAAAGCTTGAAGACATGCATCGCTTTAAAGCAGAAAGTAGCAGTTGTAAAATATATTTCCATGATCATTTATTAGCCATACAGTCCTCCTAATGACTGCTGGACACGCCCTCCACCCCGCAGGTTCAGTGTCAAAGGTCAATGTCAATTGAGCTGACTCTGTTGAGCTCCAGGCTTACTTATCAAAACAAGATGAAGACGTTATTTGTGTTGCTCCTCTCCTGTCACATTGCATCTACAGGTAAGACCACATTGTGACTCTTACGGATACTTGTTATTGCTATTGCTGTAAAAGTTTTGTTTGATTTTGGTCATTGTATCAATAGCGTGACACTGGGAACCTTAGTTTCACTTTCACATTGTCCCACTGATCTTACAATAATACCATTATGTGTATTGTTATTTTCTGTAAACATGACAGAACATTACGAAACTAACCATATATGCCTTAGTTATATGTATGCTATTAATAAATGGCCATTGTTGTGTATGTTGTGGTTATTTTGGGAAACGGTCATTACATGTACATGTTGCTAATCTTTCTGCTGTTGTTTTTGACACATGTATAGCTGCAGATACATTCTGTTTGTTGCATACACGACATGCCAAACCCACCAACACGACAGTTATCAAAACCCTACTACAACAGGAAGTTGTAATGAACAAATATGAGGCCAAATCCACCAAAAATAATCCACTTTATAATTTATTATCCCTGAAGACATGACTCACCTTATAGAAAACTAGATGCTAACTTAGCATTTTCTTCAGGGCTTCCACTTCCAGACCAAAGAGAGAAGGGGCTGATTGTGACTGACATAGTGGGTGAATCATAGCTAGGGGGCGGGTCACCTCCAGTTGCAGCCATACCTACTTGTTTTTGGGTGTGCGGTAATTCAAGTCACTGAGGTCACAGGAAATGGTCCTGTTGCACAAAAAGACACAAAAAAGTTGCTAAGTTTGCTGCTGCAAGGGATTTCAATTAAAGCTTTTTAGTTTCATTAATCTAAAGTTATTGCATTTGTACAGGGCAACCTTCAACAAATATATTTTTCAAGTGATGAAGCCGAAAAACTGGCTGCATAGAAAGACTGCTCATTAGAGAACAGCAGTGATTTTTTTAAACACTTTAAACGACCTGTGTCAATGTTTTCCTTTCCTCTAATATATAGCAATACACTAAGCAATGTAATAACACAATAATATAGTTTAGTTGTTCTGTTAAATGGTTGATACTTAATGAAAAGTTAAACTAAAGCCTAATGATTATGCAGAATAATGGTCCTTGTCAAGGTGGAGCTCATTTTAGCTGTTTTATGCATGCAGGGACCACTTTATTAGGTACACCTGTAAAATGTAATACAATACAATGCAACGACTCAGTCATAAGTCCTACCTTTACAAGTTCAGTTTTAATTGACACTGTCAAAGAGGTTTTAATTTAACTATGGCTATGTTTAGGCCTAGTCCTGGGGCTTGCAGTGGCATTGAACTGGAAGCATTATATTGAGGCAGGTTTCTTATGTTTTGCTTTTCATTTCATTTTATTTCATTTATAATGTAAGGAATGCAAATATCAGCAACCTCATTAGGTCTGACCAGTAAGGTTGCTAGCATTTTTCTTTTTTTTTGTTATTTTTTAACATAGTTTTTTGTTTTAAAAAATACAGAAATGTAAAAATTCAGTTCAAAATCAGATTTTCAGCATAAACTTTGCACCGTAAGTGTTGTGTTTTTCAAGGTCTTCTGCAAACATTCAGCAGCTTTTGAGTTTTCTCATCTCTTTCTGATAAGGGGCCTAATGTCCTATCCTAAATGTGATGAAAAATGTCTTTCTGCACCAGAAAACAGAACCTTTAAACTAATCTCCTTATAGGATGGCCATGGTGAAAAACTGAATTGAAAAAATGACACCCTGTTTTTTTGTTGTTTTTTTTCAGTTGAACACTCCCTAAAGTTTTTCTTCACTGGATCTTATGGCATCCCAAACTTCCCAGAGTTTGTGGGTGTTGTGATGGTTAATCACACTGAGGTGATTTACTGCGACAGCAACATCAAGAGAGCAGAACCCAAACAGGACTGGATGAAGAAAATAATAGATGATGATCCAAAACACTTGGACTGGTACACTGATGAGTGTCGTGTTGGTCAATGGTTCTTCCGTTCAACCATTGAAAGTCTGATGCAGCGTTTAAAACAAACTGGAGGTGAATTTATGTTTTACTTTTTGCTGCTACATTTTTTTTATCTTCTTAAAAACAGTTAAGTAGATTAATTATTAGCTTAGCTTCAACAGTAACTTGTAACAAACACCACCAAAGAAGATATATCATCACAAAATATGATTTGATCATCAGAACATCTTTATGTAATGAAGAATCAACATATAGTTGTTTTAGTAGCTGTTTACGGCAGTTACTGGTATTTGTCTCTCGATCAGGTGTTCACACTTTGCAGAACATGTTTGGCTGTGAGTGGAATGATGACACTGAAGAGGTTAAAGGCTTCAATCGGTTTGGTTATGATGGAGAAGACTTCATGTCTTTGGACCTGAGGAGAGCAACATGGATACCTGAAACACAATTTTCCCCTTTTGAGTTGGACTTTAATGAAGACTTGATGGAAATATACCAACAGACTCTTAACACCAAACAAGAGTGGGACAGTGACAAAGCTAAAATAAAAAACATCATGCATCTCCTCACTCAGCGTTGTCCTCAGTAGCTGAGGAAGTATTTAAGCTTTGGGAAGAGCTCTCTGCTGAGAAAAGGTAAAATCACATGACCTGATGTAGACTAAATGGTAAAACAATGTTCATATGCCTGTCCTGTTTTAAATGTATAGTTACATTACAATGAATGTGAAGCAACGTGTCGAGAACCACTGTACATATATATATATTTCTCTCTTTACACTCCTCTCATTCTCTCCTCCCCCCAGAGCTTCCCACAGTGTCTCTCCTCCAGAAGTCTCCCTCATCTCCAGTCAGCTGCCACGCTACAGGTTTCTACCCAAACAGCGCCATGATGTTCTGGAGGAAAGATGGAGAGGAGATTCATGAGAACGTGGAACAAGGAGAGATCCTCCCCAACCAAGATGGATCCTTCCAGATGAGCAGTGACCTGAACGTTTCATCAGTCCCACCTGAAGACTGGAGGAGGTACAACTGTGTGTTTCAGCTCTCTGGTGTGAAGGAGGACATCGTCACCAAACTGGACAAAGCAGTGATCAGGACCAACAGAGGTAAGAGAGGAATCAGAAGTCCTTGTGGTTAAGTCTTATTTGTTCATCTGTTACTTGGCAGGATATCTAAAAAACTGCACATCAGGTTTCTATTTTTTTGGTGGACAGTAAGTCATATAACAAGAAAGAACTCATTAGAAATTAGGCATTAAGAGACATCACTGAGATGATAGAAAATAGAGATGCAACAAAGGTCCCCACGTAGACTCAAATTGGCCATGCTGTGGTCTGCGCTTAACCCCTTAGCTGCAGTTGAACCTCCTGTGACAAAGTTTCCGATGTGTTCTATTTGTCTAGAGTATGACTGATAGTGAAATTTTCCAAGATATGGTTTATTTATAATACCCATCCATAAGGCTTAAAACATTACACAACTGCAGCCACATAGAGGGCAGGTGCTGACATACAACATAAGTTTCAACAATATGAATGAACCCAAAGTCTGAATGCTCTGCTTTGGTTTCAGTTTCTTCTTCAGGGTTCCCCACTGGTCTTGTTATTGGAGTTGTGGTAGGACTGCTGCTGCTGCTGCTGCTGTCACTCTTTATCGTTGGACTTTTCATCTGGAGAAGGAACAATAATGGTGAAGAATAGAGATGTTTTTACTTCATGAATGAATTTAGAATAAACATCTGTGATAGTGTAATCCTGCATATTTTGTGTGGTAGTTCTGGCCCCGCCCCTTTGTGATGGTCCGACAAGCTGTTTGAGTAAGCATGGAGCCACACTGTAACTAACTGCACTCCCTGAAGAAATATTATCATATTTCGGAAAAATTAAACAGTGATTCCAGAAAGAAGCAGACAGAGGGGTCTACAAAATGTGTTTGAAGGATATATCCAGGATGTCAAACTGACTCAGCAGTAAACACAGGCTAAAAAGACAAAGACAGTCAGAAGCTAAAGGTGAACTATAGGCTACAGATCACGGTGTAAAAGTGAACCACCACATCACTGCTGATCGCCACAGAAGACAATGAATATAAAGTGAAACTGTGTCTATATTGAACCAGCTGAGTGTCATCACAGTGTGTGCAGATGGACGGTGTTTGTCTTCGCCCCCATGCCGCTGCCAGCACCGGGACCTCCGCTGCCGGACGGGCAGGGATCTCCGGGGAAGTCAAACATTAATCTGCGCACAATGCGATGACACACAGCTGGTTGAATATCAGCAAAGGTTTCATGCCTCCCTTCACTGGTTTCTGTACAGCAGGGTCGGTCTTTGTTTCAGTGCTCAGTCATTAAAAAGCAAAAGCAGCATGTGTATACATTTGGAAGGCTATATCTTCAGTAGCTAGCTAGCTAACCCTACACTTTCAGGGTTTGGTTTTGGTTTTGGAACAGGGAAAAAACGTTTATCTTTTTCCAACCTCTCCAGGTAATGAGTATCATTAATACACAACGTGCCCCAGGCACAACATTTAGCTCCAAATTCACATAACCACCCTGAAAATGAAGGAAATCTGAAACGACTGCATTAGAGTCAATGGAGCAAAGCTGTGTTGTTGTCGGACCCTGGTCCCGATGTTACGTTATGATTGGCCAGTCTGCGGCCGGGGGGCAGGACTTGGCAAAGGGTCAAATCATAAGTAAAGGGTAGTCACAAAGAGCCTATTTATCTATTTCTTGTTGTATAAATTCTAAAATGTGAATCATTTACTAACTTTGTTTTCTCTCATCTGTATTTCAGGGTTTCAGCCTGCTAACAGTAAGTATTCTATCGTGAAATGTTTCAAACTGATTTTCTTTTTTCCCTTGTTGACAAGCAACTAATATCCAGTTTACCATATAAACAAAAGTCCTGCATAATGTGGACACCAATATGAGAATCATTTCACTTTCACTATTTATTTGCTTCTTATCTTCACAGGGGACAGTGAAGATTAGAAGAACTCCCTGAGTGAGGAGTAGCCGAATCAATACCAATTTTACCTATTTCACAGAGAACTGAGTGAACTTTTTTCTAACCTGCCAGTTCACAAGACCTTTGGATCAAAACTCAGGTTAGCAGAGAACATGAAGGATGTCCAATGGAATGTTGAGTGCCAACTGGTGATGAGCCAGTTTAACACATTACTAATTTACCAGTTCACGAGAATGCCAGAGAGTTCTGGGGAGTGTTCCCACTCGAGAATTGGTAGCTTCTTCCCTGGCCATCTTAACTACCAGGTGAAACTTTACTTTTAGAGTAAGAGTAAGAGTAATTAAGAAATGTTAGGATACATGTAGAGTCCCCCATCAATATAGAAATGATGTTAAATGGCTTCATATATTTTCCCTGTACTTCCCAACAATCTCTCAGCTGTTGAACTGTGTATAAATTGTATTTCATCTATGGTCTCTGGTGTTTCCACATATTTATCCATCTTGCCAAGTTATAGTCATTCATTAGTTGTTTGCTGCTGTATTCACTGCATTTATTCTTTATTGCATTTTTTCATTCATTTGGATGTTTATTGGTTAAAAGTTGTGTGTTTTACTAGCTTTTCATTTCTAAAACTAGAATTACTGCCTCACAGTTGTATACCTCCACAAATCAGTCAAGTTGCACTTACAGTTTTGATCCGTGTCTGTGAAAACATGGATGCTTCACACACATCAGTTAAGTATGTGACCCCTTCTGTTCCTAACTTATGAGGTTGAATAATGGCTGGAAAAGTGTTTTTTGCAGAACATTATGATGTCAAAGTGGAGTTGACTTTTGATGTTTTGGATTTAAAATGTCACTTCATCATTTTATCCTTTTATATATTTGACTGAAATTTTGTCAAAATTAGCAGATGAATTCTTAAGTTATGGCCCAAAACATGTTTTGTTAGGTCACAGTGACCTTTGACCTTTGACCACCAAATTCTTATAAGTTTGTTAATGAGTTCAAGTGGACATTTGTGCTAAATTTGAAGAAATTCCCTTGAGGCCTTGAGATATTGCGTTCACAAGAATGAAACAGCCACAAGATCACAGTATCCTTCACCTTTGATCTTCAAAATCAAATCAGTTCGTTGTTCAGTCCAAATGGATGTTTGTGTCACATTTGAAGAAATTCCCCATAAGGTGTTCTTGAGATTTTGGGCTCTAGTTTCGCAGACCGGGCGAGGCGGAGGCGCAGCGCACCTGCGCTTCGCCAACTGGGTGTGGCCAGGCTGGGTGTGGCCAGTGCCCCTTGTACTGCTGTGGACAAGGGGCAGTAGCAAAACATATTTTAGCCGCCTAAAAAATCAATATCCGGTTAAGTGTACACTATTGAAATACTTTCACCACTCTACCTTTCCATCAGCGAGCCCTTTGAGGTGGGGAGCTGATGCTGTAATTTATGCTCTCTTCAAAGCCACCAGAATCCATTGACAAAAACAGCAATTTTACCTCAGAACACAGGAGTTCCTGGTCTAACGCTGCCTTGGTCAGTTAGTTTGTGTTACTGTGTGACTGTTGAAGGCAGACTGTTGTGCTTTAAAGGGTTAGTTTGGATTCAGCAAAGTCACACAATAACAGACAAACTAACCGATCGAGGCAGCAGTGGGCCAGTATCTCCCACAGTGTGTGTGTGTGAGTTTGTACTTAGTTACATTCCACTGCTATTAACGTAAATACATACATTAAATGATGTTTCCAAATCTAATTTAAAACAAAAATTAAAATTGGGGCATCGGTGGCTTGGTGGTAGAGCAGGTGCCCCATGTACAAGGCTGTTGCCGCAGCGGCCCGGGTTCGACTCCAGCCTGTGGCCCTTTGCTGCATGTCACTCCCTCTCTCTATCTCTCCCTTTCACACTTGTCTGTCCTATCAATTAAAGGCTGAAAAATGCCCAAAAAATATCTTAAAAAAAAAAAAAATTAAAATTAAAAAGAAATAATCATGATAGCAGTTGTATTCTGTTTCTACTCAACACTAATTGCTGACATCTGCTAATATTTGTTATAATTAATTAATTGCATTAATTAATTTTTTAATTTTTAATTAATGTGAAAAGTAAAAAACAAAAAAAACTAATTAAGGGTAAAGAAGGTGTCAGAGTGCATAAAGTAAGTGATACTGCACCAAAAAGAAAACACATGCTTAATTTATGCATAACAATGCCACCATAATGATTTCATGAAGGAATTAGGATGTATGATGAACCCCTTAACACTATGTTCAAGTCACTTTGACTAAATGTGATTTATAGTTCATTGAATAATAAATATAAGTGTACTTCATGCGTCATAATCTATATGCCACCAAGTTAGTTGGAAGCCAGGAAGTGAAGTGCCCTTCACTTCCTGTTTGATGCTATCTGTTTGCATCCTGCACGACTTTCTGTCTCCTCCACACTTTAAACACTGACATAAGCAAAACTGTTTGTCATGAAATGCTAATTCCAACATAACACATGCTTTTGAGGATAAACATGAGTTGCCCTAACTGTATGGAATGAACCAACTAGCCTGCAAAAAGAGGGGGGTCTCTGAGTATAATATTTTAGAGGAAGAAATACAAAAACAGTTGTAAAAGTAAAAAAAGAAAATAAAATATGATACAAAAAAATATATTTTGTTTAAATATAAAATGCAAAAAAATAGTATAGTGATGATTTTTTTTACACGACATTATAATGTCATGGAAAATGTGCCTACACCACAAAATAGACTTGGATTGCTATCTAGTCATGGTATCTCTCTATCTTGCACTCTTAACAGCGTGGGCTTGTGGCTTACTTGCATTTGAGTTTTTTACTTCCTGCGCCTGAACACACGCCTCACTTAATCAAGTCAAGATCAGCTCTACCAAGAACATGATGAAAAGTTTATTTTTGTTGCTCCTTTTCTGTCATGTTGTATCTCCAAGTAAGATAACAATTTATTTCAAAGTGTTGCTATAACAGCAGATTAAATTAGTACATAATTTGTTTTAACAAATTAGTTTTGGTTGGATTTCAGCTTTTAGATTTCTTGTTTTAGCAGAATGCCTGTTTTCATCTATGACAAAATTAACTGAGCTCAATTGTTCATTTATGCTGCTGATCCTGTAGCAAAAAAATTAAGAGTTGGTCAGGGAGTTTGAAAATTTCCATTTTTTTTAATTTTTCACCCAGTTAAATTTAATATACAGATTTCCAAGAAAATTTTACATGACACAGTAACGCAGTTCACAGTATGTTCTCTCTCTGCTGCAGCTCAGAAATAGTGAAAAGAAACTGGAAATAAAAATGTGGATAAATTCCAAGCCGCTGCTATCACACCAGGACTTTTAAATTAGGCTAATGAGAATACAATTTTAAAAGTTTTTGTTTGTTTGTTTGTTTGTTTGTTTTTCTGAAAATTGAAAATTCTAAAAATGGTTATAATCAAGATATTTTTTTTCCAAAATGAAACAATCAGATTTTTGAGAATCTGATTTGTATACAACAAACTTCCTTTGGTTTATTAGTGCATAACAAAAATACAGTGATAGAAAATGAAATTAAAAATAAAAGCAAGTATTGCAAAAATCAAGAAACACACACATGCATGCACACAATCACACACACACACACACACACAAAGAAATACTATAAACTATAAACATATGGTACAATTTTGTGCAGAAGTGTGCAAATATTGTGCATGGAATGAGCAGTGGTTGAGGAAGAATTCAGCACCTTAAATAAATATTACCACATTGTAAACATATGCATAAAAAATACTTTGATTATCAAAATATATAGTTCCCAAGTCTGTTGTACTTTACTTTACTTTTTACATTTCAATATGTTTTATGTGCAAAATGTAATTTGTAATATAACCAGTAACTGAAGCCGTCACACAGGGGCATGTCTAGATTTGGAGGACAATGGGGGCTTAGCCCGGACCATAGGGGGGTTCAGGGGGCTCCTCCGTCAGGACATTTTTTTGACGATGAAACTGATGCTTATTTTATGCACTCTGGCACCTTCTTTACCCTTAATTACTTTTTTTTTTTTTTAACTTTTCACATTAATTATGAATTGTGACATTAAAAATATTAGCAGTTGTCAGCAGTTAGTGTTGAGTAGAAACAGAATACAACTGCTATCATGATTATTTCTTTTTAATTTTAATTTTTGTTTTAGATAAGATTTGGAAACATCGTTTAATGTATGTATTTACGTTAATAGCGGTGGAATGTGACTAAGTACATTTACTGAAGTACAAGCATGAATGGACTGAAAGATTATTAAATCCAGGGCTTTTTATAATTATTTGGACTACTCTTATTTTTGAATATTATATATAGCTTTATATTTAGATCTGGAGCTGTTTATAAAATATTCAGGGCTAAAGCCTCGGATGCCCAGGTCTAATGACACCACTGCTGTCAGATAAATCTAATGAAGCAAATGGTACAACATTCCCCTCTGAAATGTAGACGTCTAAAGTGGCACAAGAAGAAATTACTGAAGTAAAGTATTGTACTTATCTAAATGTACTTGATGACATTCCACCACTGAAATGCAGTTCAATAAATGAAGAGAGCAGGGGAGTCCTGTAGGAGTGCAAGTTATGCAGTACAATGTGTCTTGCAATTTAAATATGGATGGAAACTATACTGGCAAACAAAAATCCAGCTTAAATTGGGTTTTAACACAGTGCAATTGCAAGAGAATGTATTATATTTAGGGTGCTTTTTCTTTTATTAGTTTATTATATTTAGTTGTTTTGGGCCTCCAATGCACAGTTAGCAACTTTTAAGATTCATTTTCAGTTCTTCGCTTTCTATGACATGAAGCGCCTTCTGTTGTTGTTGGTAGTGACCCATTTTTAAATCGTCTGCTGTGCTCAGGTAATTTACAACCAATTACACAAAAAGAATAACCATATAACAGAAAACCTGCTCCTTCTTCAGTGACTCACTCCCTGCAACTGTTCTACACTGGATCGCTGAGAGTCCCAAACTTCCCAGAGTTTGTTGCTGTTGTAATGGTTGATGGAGTTGAGGTGATTTACTGTGACAGCAACACTACAATAGCAGAACCCAAACAGGACTGGATGAAAAAACTACTGAAAGATGATGTAAAACACATGGACTGGTACAATGATGAGTGTCGTCATAGTCACAGCTTCTTCAATACCACCATTGAGAGAATGATGCAGCAATTTAACCAAATTGGAGGTATATTTACATTTCACTTTTACCCACTGAAACATTTTTACCCTAGCTTGTTATGCAGCAAATTAATGTGACATGTAAGAATAAATCGCATACAAAATTAAAAAGCTGGTTATGTATGTATTTCAAATCACTGTTTTAGTCTCTGTTTCAGTTATTAGTTGACTGCAGTCCTGTCTCTGTTGCTCAGGTGTTCACACTTTCCAGCAGATGTTTGGCTGTGAGTGGGACGATGAGACTGGAAAGGTTAATGGTTTTAATCAGTATGGTTATGATGGAGAAGACTTCATAGCACTTGACCTGAAGACAGAGACATGGATCGCTCCTAAACCACAAGCTGTCCCCACCAAACACAAGTGGGACAATGACAAAACAGGATTAGCGGCCATTAAAACCTATCTCACCCAACATTGTCCTGACCAGGTGAAGAAGTACGTGGACTATGGGAGGAGCTCTCTGCTGAGAAAAGGTAGAATCACATGACCCGATGTAGTTTTATGAAACAGTTTGTCCTGATGTAATTTAGCATTGCAGCAAATATGAAGTAAGACACACTGTATATCTGTGTCTTTGCAGACTTTCCCTCAGTGTCTCTCCTCCAGAAGTCTCCCTCCTCTCCAGTCAGCTGCCACGCTACAGGTTTCTACCCAAACAGAGCCATAATGTTCTGGAGGAAAGATGGAGAGGAGCTTCATGAGAACGTGGACCATGGAGAGATCCTCCCCAACCACGATGGAACCTTCCAGATGAACAGTGACCTGGACCTTTCATCAGTCCCACCTGAAGACTGGGAGAAGTACGACTGTGTGTTTCATCTCTCTGGTGTGAAGGACATCGTCACCAAACTGGACAAAGCAGTGATCTGGACCAACAGAGGTAAGACTTCTATCAGAAGTGATGATGGTAGGAAATGCATGTTTAGTTTACTTCACCTCATGCATTCTGTTTTTGCTGAGTTGATGCAACCATATGCCCCCTTGTTTCAATATAGCATCTTCAGTTTAGGTTTCTCTGTTACATGTTGAAGATCCAAAGTCATCTATACAGCTGGCCACCATATGATAGCCCCCAGGGTAACCACAGTGAGGGAGCTGCTTCATTTTGAGCAGCAAACCCCTTTAGCGTGATTAACTGTTAACCCTAGCCCAAACTGTTACATTGTGTTACTGTTACCGAACATTAGCTTCCACCAGATCACCGGTGGTGCGCAATGCAGTAAACTGAGGAGTAGAAAAATTCACCTTTTGACCAACATACATACCTGGTCAAAAATATTCTTGGCGGTTAACCAATTAACAAATTAACTGTTAATCAGTTCAGATCTTTGGTTTTCTATCCCCCAAAAGGGGCATGACCTTGAAGTTTTGTGAGGTACCCATATGTGCTGGTCTGGTCAATTAGCATATGCAGCTAGTTAGTGGTGGTAATGTCTAATAAGCAAGTAAAGTCAGCAAGCCCTGGCAGATGATCTGCTGATACCTGGAAAGTGTCTGTTTCATAATGTGTGTCTGTATCGTCAATAGGTCTACACAATTTAAACTATTTAAATACAGCCATGGCAATAGGGTAAAATATTATGAAAACACTCTGAAAAGTTTTGAAAATTAATTGGTAAAATGTGTGGGAACCCTTCTCATCACTTGGTAGATAATGTGGTCATGACATTATTAACACAGACACTTATCAGCTTTTTAACATAAAAATCAAAACATAGTCTGTCCCTGGCCCGGTCAAAAAAGACACTTGTGTGCCAAGCCACCTGGTCGCCTGCCCCATCAAAAAGATATTTTCCACCAGGCATAACAGCTGTTCTGGGGTCAACCCTGCAATCCCTGGCCACATCTGGCCATGCTTTTTATACCAAATTCTAAAAAAGACAGCAGTTTACATAATGAAGTGCTGATGTGCTTTCTGCAAAAAAACAAAAAAACAGAGATCTTCACTTAGAAAAACTTCGCAAGCACATGCAAGTTTTTCACATACTCTAGGTGAAATAATGTTAGCAAGCTAGCGTTAGCTTCAGGTATGTTCATTCTTCATGTGTAACGTTGATCTTTGATGTTATGATAATGACATTAAGTTATATTGTAGCTAGAGGTCTGTTGGACTTTTGAATTTATTAAACCTCATTATTAATTAACTGAGGAAAGTTTTATTAACAAGTGCTGTGGTTTCATTATTTTGCACCGGCCCACACACCCTAAAAATATTAAAGTGGAAAGTAACTTGTACTGAGTAATTTGTTAACCATGTACTTTTACTTGAGTAGGTCTCTCCAATGGTAATTTTCACTTTTACTTGAGTCATTTTTTATGGGAGTAATTGTACTTATACTCAAGTATAGATTTTCATTACTCTACCCACCACTGCTGAAATCTCTTAATAGTGAAGAGATGATTCATACAGCTAATTGTGTGTTGAACAAATACATTTTAACTGTATGAGTACAGACGACACTTGTTTATGGGCTATAATGATGTTTAGCCCAATCTCCATCACGGGGCAGTGCACTGACATTTGCACGCACTCATATGGCATTTAAGGAACAACTCACTAATATTGTACTCTAGTACATGCGAGCTAATTGTTTCTATTCACTCCTATGTAAAAAACATTCTAAGATGAACACAGGAGCATGTGATTTCCTGTCAACTGTGGTTAACACTGCCTTCCTGTTGATGGTAACACACCAACCATGAAATGTGTAGTGACAAAATGTCTAAAAACATGTACCCCTTATATCAGGGGTGTCAAACATACGGCCCGTGGGCCAGAACCGGCCCGCCAAAGGGTCCAATCTGGCCCTGGGTGACTTTGCACACCCCATGTTGATGCATATGTAAAGGCTTAGAGGTTCAGGAGCAATTCAAACAGTGAGCAGATACTTCATGTAAAATACTGCCTTAGAAACTGTTCCACTCTGACAGCTCTCTGAAATAATAAGTAGGCTACTTTCTCTGGTCATATTTAAAGATTTTGAACATTGTGCAAAATATTGTCAACCAGCAGCTTCAGAACAAAAGAACCTGTATCAGACTTCTTTCTTAGAACAATATTAGGGGAACCCTGCTGCTGAGGCACTGACAAAATTTAAGATTGTAAGGCAGGGGATGACTGAACCTGTTTCGTCAATAGCTTCCACTTTAGTAGTAAAAATATGAAAAAAAGTCACATGTAATGAAGGCTGAATGTGGATGGAAACCAATCACACAAGATTAATAAACACGTAACAGAAAATGATTTCTTTTTTTTTTCACAGTGTATCAGTCCCTGAAACTGTTCTACACTGGATCGGTGAGAGTCCCAAACTTCCCAGAGTTTGTTGCTGTTGTAATGGTTGATGGAGTTGAGGTGATTTACTGTGACAGCAACACTACAATAGCAGAACCCAAACAGGACTGGATGAAAAAACTACTGAAAGATGATGTAAAACACATGGACTGGTACAATGATGAGTGTCGTCATAGTCACAGCTTCTTCAATACCACCATTGAGACTCTGATGCAGCAATTTAACCAAACTGGAGGTATATTTACATTTCACTTTTACCCACTGAAACATTTTTACCCTAGCTTGTTATGCAGCAAATTAATGTGACATGTAAGAATAAATCGCATACAAAATTAAAAAGCTGGTTATGTATGTATTTCAAATCACTGTTTTAGTCTCTGTTTCAGTTATTAGTTGACTGCAGTCCTGTCTCTGTTGCTCAGGTGTTCACACTTTCCAGCAGATGTTTGGCTGTGAGTGGGACGATGAGACTGGAAAGGTTAATGGTTTTAATCAGTATGGTTATGATGGAGAAGACTTCATAGCACTTGACCTGAAGACAGAGACATGGATCGCTCCTAAACCACAAGCTGTCCCCACCAAACACAAGTGGGACAATGACAAAACAGGATTAGCGGCCATTAAAACCTATCTCACCCAACATTGTCCTGACCAGGTGAAGAAGTACGTGGACTATGGGAGGAGCTCTCTGCTGAGAAAAGGTAGAATCACATGACCCGATGTAGTTTTATGAAACAGTTTGTCCTGATGTAATTTAGCATTGCAGCAAATATGAAGTAAGGCACACTGTATATCTGTGTCTTTGCAGACTTTCCCTCAGTGTCTCTCCTCCAGAAGTCTCCCTCCTCTCCAGTCAGCTGCCACGCTACAGGTTTCTACCCAAACAGAGCCATGATGTTCTGGAGGAAAGATGGAGAGGAGCTTCATGAGAACGTGGACCACGGAGAGATCCTCCCCAACCACGATGGATCCTTCCAGATGAGCAGTGACCTGGACCTTTCATCAGTCCCACCTGAAGACTGGAGGAGGTACGAGTGTGTGTTTCATCTCTCTGGTGTGAAGGACATCGTCACCAAACTGGACAAAGCAGTGATCAGGACCAACAGAGGTAAGACTTCAGTCAGAAGTGATGACGATAGGGAATGCATGTTTAGTTTACTTCACCTCTAATGCTGTGCATGCACTCTGTTTTTGCTGAGGTGATGCAACCATATGCCCCTTATTTCAATATAGCATCTTCAGTTTAGGTTTCTCTGTTACATGTTGAAGATCCTCAGTCATCTATACAGCTGGCCACCATATGATCGCCCCCAGGGTAACCACAGTGAGGGAGCTGCTTCATTTTGAGCTGCAAACCCCTTTAGCGTATTTAACTGTTAACCCTAGCCTGAACTGTTAGCACCACCAGCTATGTTGATACTGCTAAAAGCACTAACAGAGCTAACAGTAGTTATCAATGCTAAAGGGGGTTTTGGGTGTACTCACCATGGCAGCCTTCGGGGTGATCAGGTGAATGGGCCAAATGTTTCCACAGCAACACTGTTGGGCCAGGAGGGCGTTACAAGCAGTTATCACCAGATGAGTAGCGCCACTAGGCTAACATTAGCTTCCACCAGATCATCAGCGGTGCGCAGTGCAGTAAACCGAGGAGTAGAAAAATTCACCTTTTGACCAACATACATACCTGGTCAAAAATATTCTTGGCGGTTAACCAGTTAACAAATTAACTGTTAATCAGTTCAGATCTTTGGTTTTCTATCCCCCAAAAGGGGCATGACCTTGAGGTTTTGTGAGGTACCCATATGTGCTGGTCTGGTCAATTGGCATATGCAGCTAGTTAGTGGTGGTAATGTCTAATAAGCAAGTAAAGTCAGCAAGCCCTGGCAGATGATCTGCTGATACCTGGAAAGTGTCTGTTTCATGATGTATGTCTGTATCGTCAATAGGTCTACACAATTTAAACTATTTAAATACAGCCATGGAAATAGGGTAAAATATTATAAAAACACTCAGAAATGTTTTGAAAATTAATTGGTAAAATGTGTGGGAACCCTTCTCATCACTTGGTAGATAATGTGGTCTGTAATTGGTCGTGACATCATTAACACAGAAACTTATCAGCTTTTTAACATAAAAATCAAAACATAGTCTGTCACTGGCCCGGTCAAAAAAGACACTTGTGTGCCAAACCACACCTGGTCGCCTGCCCCATCAAGAACCAGACTGCAATGCTTTTTGAGTTCAAACAATGCAAGTGAATCTAAAGTGTAAATGTTCTGTTGTTTCAGGAGAGTCCCATGTTGGTCCTATAATTATCAGAGCTGTTGGAGTACTGCTTCTGCTGGCACTTGTCTACACTGGATGCTTTATCTGTAAAAGGAAACATAATGGTGAGGAACAAAAATTTTACTTCACTCTTTAAATACCTGTGATAGTTTTAAACAAATGTTTTTATTAAGTAACCAGTACAGTAGCCCCTGATGGTCAAAACAAGACATGTCAGAAAACACAACATTATAGAAAACACAAGGACATTGCTTTATGTTGTGATTTGTGGAATGTTTTGTTTTTTTTAAAAATGTGGCTGTGTTTAGTGAAATTTCATTTTGTTTTCTGATAAATAAATAATAATAATAATAATAATAATAAATATATATATCATGCTTTGTTTTCTGAAATGTAATTTTGACCCTGAGGGCCACCATAGCTCAGGGTTTAATTTAAATCCTTTAAAAAGGAAAAAAAAAATTGAAATATTGACAATAATTTTCTCTCATCTGGATTTCAGGGTACCAACCTACTAACATTCAAATGGACCAAAGCTGACTTTGAAAGGTGTCCATCCACAAAGGACTGACAGGACTACTGGTTCTGCTCAGGGGAGAAAAAAATATCAATAATTTTATTTGTACAATTATTTTGTGAGACAAGGGTAAAAAGGGTTAACACAAAAATGTTCTATGCCTTTTAGCCATGCTCAGGTTATGGCTAAGGGACGTGACAAAGTGTCAGTATTTGGCGCCCTAGGGATGAGAAAGGGCTGCATCATCAGGGCAAAGTTTTTATTTGTCCAGTACTTAGGTTTATGACAAAATATATGCACAGCAAAGTGTGCTAAATAGCTGTAATTGTGTTTTTGTGTTTAGTGATAATTAGCATGCTAACAAGCGAGACTAAGATGGCAAACATGGTTAACATTAGCCCCTTTTCCACCACAGGATCTTTTCTCATTTACGCGGGATTTTGAAAAACCTCTGTGTGTTTCCACAGAAATTACCCAGGTAAAAAACTTTCCCTCAACCCCAAACTTGCCCTGAAAAAAGTACCTAGTAGGGGGGTAGGACTTTTCAGATTAGAATTCTTGAGGGGCGGGGCGATGTGCTGAGGAACAATGATTGGTAGAACACACACTGCAAACTTTATTTCATTTCTACAAGCTCCACTTCGTTTCTGTTTTGATGAAAGATGGATCCCGAAACCCGGTACTAAATTAGCATCAGGGCTAAATTATCAAAGACCGTAGTATTGATAAGCGCTAACGGTATCGGTTCTCCTCTGCTCTCTGTGCCGGCGGTGAACTCCTCCACACACACATATCCACACATACACCGACACGACACGGTAACCAGTGAACAGCTGAGCGGCCCCGGTGGAAACGAAGTGAAGATAACTCGAAAATGACTTGAGTTGACGACAGCTACACTTGTGACTGTAAGTGACATTAACCTTTAGCAAGTAAGAAGCCAATACATGAGTACAGCAAGCATGAACATGTAAACATGCAGACAGCAATATTCAATATGCTCTGTCCACACTCCACAGTCTCTCGTCCACCGACACTAACGTTATGTCTTACACAAGGACAGCACGATAGTTCAGCTGATAGTGAATTGTTACTAATAAGCTCAAATGACAGCTGTCTGTATGTAGACTAACTTAGTTTGACACTTATCTTAAAAGACTTTTAAACTTAGCTGCTGGCTGAGACAAACAGCCCCAACTCTCTACCAGCACGTAACCAGCCAAGCCGGCAGAGCCAAATACAGGGCACACAAATCATCTACGTCATCACGCTAATTTGAATAAATTTTCCAGAACTTTGAGGTGAGGTGGAAACGCAAACCACGCAGATTACCAGGAATCATTTTACCCAGGTAAATAAATTCCTGGTTATAAAAGTTCCTGGAAATGTTGGTGGAAAAGGGGCTATTATATTGTTCTTGTTTTATATAGAGCCAGAAATCCAAGCATAATAGACATTTGCTATACAGAATGTGAGTTCAATTTTGATTTTGAATTTTTTTTCCCTCAAATTATGACCACTTCATGTGCTTCACATTTAGGAGAACTATAGGAGCTCTCACACTGTTTAAGGTTTTAAAAAACTGTGTTTTTCAGGAACTTTGCAGAAACCACAGCCGTTTCCAATTCAGTGTCTGAGACAACACTTCTCCGACGGTTGTGTTCCATGCAGAATCTCCTGACGCTCATTATGGAACACTGCGTGGCCCCTTCATGCTGTAAAATGTCACTGATTTCTGTGTGTGTCTTGCCACTCTCAAAAAGTTCACAGATCAGGTCTGCATAAGGCTGGAGTGCGGCCATAACTAGGCTACAAGTAGTTGAGAATGGAGCGCTCCTCTGCGAAGTTCAAAAGTTCTTTCGCAGATCTCCCTGCATTCCCCGAATTTGTCCGAATATCACAAAAACAAAACAAAGAAATTAAAAACTTCATTTTCATGTTCTTCTGTTTTAATAAAACAAAACAACAACTACAAAACATGTGATTTCTGTTGTTTTGTTTTACCGTTTTTCTGATCTGGTTTTGAAACAGAAAAACTAAAGAACAAAGGGTACACAGATTCATTTGGCCATGTCTACTTAAAAATCTGAAATTCCTCCATACTGAGAGAAACTGGTTACCAAAGTAGAAGACACTGCCAGAACATTTTCTGATCTTCAGCTGTTAATTTTTTTCCACCTGTTCAAGCAGGTTTGTTCTCGTGATGAGGAATCTAAGTTGGCAGCTGAAGTTGGCAGTGACAGATACATTGTGTTGAAAGTGCATCATTACTTAGAGATGGAAGTTTTGCAAGACATTAATGCCAGACTTGCCTGAGACGTTCATTTCTTGCTGAACTTAATATATGAAAGTGTTTCCTCTTACAGTCTACGAGGAAGTAACATGTAAATCAAAACTTGAAGCAGGTCAAGCAGGTTTTATTGTTTGTTTTTTTACAAGGAAAGCTGTGAGACTGAGATGAAGTTTAAAAAACGCACACCAGTACAAGAAATTAAACAGCCTTTGTTAGTGTGTATTTGAGTGTAGCTACTGTTATTATCCACCTTTGTCTGTGCAGCTGTCACAGTGCACAAGAGGAAATTTGCTGACATACAAATGACCCAGATCTTTATAATCTTCTGTTCTGGGATCATTAAGAGAATATTTGAAGAAATCAGTTTCTAAGTACTTAAGAACTTATAATGATAATATACTCACCAGATACTTGTTTCAGCCAAGTATTCCACTCAACCCAACAATAAACTCATCAAAATCAGTGACAACAAATTTGTATTCACTGATTTTGATGAGTTTATTGTTGGGTTGAGTGGAATACTTGGCCGAAACAAGTATTCAGTATGGATAACGTACTTTTTTTGAGTACCAGTCTCTTACACTTGTGATCAGTCATGATGTGAAGATTTCTCTGTAAATAGTTTTCTAATAAGTAATAAATGTATGAACTTCTGATCGACCCATATCAATTTCAGGCTTAAAATAACAACTTCTGATTAGGTCTCACTCACTTCCAGTTTGAGGTGAGTTCTCCTGTTAACAGGTACTGTGTGTCAAATATAGATATGATAAGGAAGGATTTATTTTTAATAACTAAAACACAGCCACAAATCTTTGATCCACGTCATTCATAACTAGACTTTGAAAAGTATTTATTTTGTTTGGAGGCTACAGCACAACAAAGTAGGAAATAACAACAATAAATACGATTAAAACAGACAAAAAAACCCAATTTATTTAACTACATAGCTTACTTGCTTATTTATGGTAGAAGCACAAATATCAAGGAAGATGACCAGTTCAACATCGTCTGCAAGTTAACAAAATCGGGCAGGCAAAACGCTCTGCATCTGAAACACTCTTGTTGTGGTATGACACAATGGCGGCTGCTGGTCTTTCAAACAGGGGAAGCTCACTTTAAGTTTACATCATAAAATTTGTCATATTGTAGCGAGGCAGTAACTTATTAAAGGAACATTTCATTGAAGCCGTTTTTTAACCACACTCATGCCATAGAACCACAGCAAAACACACCTCAAAGATTTTCAGATGGGTTTAAACACCTGAACTGTGTCTACACCACCAGAACTGATTTTCTCTCACAATAAACTTCCCTGAAAGGAGCAGCACTTTAACACTGGCCCAGGTAACAAACAGTGCTATACAGCAACATACTCTTAACATTCTCAAATATTACTGAAACACACATTTATTATACATGAATTCTGCCCTCCGCTCCTTTTGCAGAAAATGGTCTGTGACCCTGTCATACCAACTGCACACACACAACACAACTACAGCTTTGTGATTCAACGAACAAACAAACTAACGACACTAAACAGGGTAAAACTCAATAAAGCAACGTTTATGTCTTTATTTACAGTGTGTGTTGTGTGTGTACTGCTGAAAATGAGCTATATCGGACGTGTCCCCTCCAATATTGGACACAGGTGCATTTGTCCCACCCAAAAATTATACCGCAGAGGAGAAAAATATTTTATTTTAAAATCTCTAACTCACTTGCTTTTATTTTGAAAGCGGAACACAGCGCCAGTTAAACTTTTGTCATCTATTCCAAATCTGAGAATCGTCACACATTTTAAGATGAGTGTTAAATAAATTATAACATTTAATAATATTAAGAAAATTCATTCAGTCTTCATAAACAAAATGAATCATTGCCATACATAGACATGTATTTTGCTTCCTCATGTGTAAGGCTTTATTATACCTGAAGCAAACTTTCCTTGGAGAGTGCACTTCTTAGTTTTAATTATGTGGCCGAATTTGTTATTCTTTGTCAGACCTACAGAGGACACTCCAGGTATCAAAGCTCTGACCTGTCAGCTGAAAGAGATTGATTCTGTGTTAACTCTTATTATTCTGCTCTGTCACATTATTAAATAACACAAAAAAACAACTTGATCGTTTCACTCTTTATTTATTCACTTCTGCCGCCACACTTTCCTATGAAAGACAGTTTTAAGAAGGGATTTTAAAAGGTGCTAATGATGTAGCATGTCTGATCTCAATAGGCAGGAGTGTTCCACAGTTTGGGGGTCTGACAGCAGAGGCCCGGTCACCATTGGTCATGAGCTGAGATCATGGAACAACCAGCAGATCTGCATCCACTGACCTAAGAGAACGTCCAGGCACATAGGGGGTCAATACATCCTTAATGTAATTTTTATCACATTATTATGTGGTATCAGGTGGAAATGTTCTCATACTTAATTATGTCCTTCTAGTTTACACTGACCACGATATTTTGTAATTTATTCCCCTTTGTTCTGTGCAACTGCAAAACATTTAAAGTCAGAGTCACATGTTGATCCTCATTAAATACTAGCTCTGATACAATGTACTGACAGAGTGATCTTCATGGGAGTGAAACAAGTTTACCAACTTCTGTATCATCCATCCATCTGTCATCAGAACAGAGACACTCCCACCTCCTTACACAAGGTAAAAACACAGAAAACTTAACAGCTCAGTCCTTTACCCCTACTTCTTTATAAAAACAAGATGA